AATTTGTTTGCTTTTTTAGTTTGATGGTGAAATTAGAAATTCAAAACACTGAAAGTGGCTGCATTGTGGATTATTTATTTTCCTCATTTGTTTTCCTCATAATTCCCCCATTTCATTTTTTCTCGTTAAGTTCTGCTACAAGTGGCAAATTATATTTGGAACAGCTTGGTTTGATTCGCTCTTTCTAACTGGAGGAACTGGGTGGAGGAATTTATTTATTTAGGATGGAGACCGGAGGCTCAGGTACAGCCGACAGTATGAGGGCTTTTTAATCAACACAGAACGTTATCTCTGCTAAACAGAATCACTCAAACTAATGAAAACAAAATCATCAGCAATATTACTTTAGAACACACTTTAGCATTTCATTTCAAATGTAAATTGGCTTGAATTTATGCTGTGCTACAGGGTTCTTCATTCACGGACCAAACAGCCGTTAATCTAAACTTCTCTGCGTAATGTTTGCCTTTATATCTTTCTCAGAGGGACGACTTCTGTTCAGTGATCTTCTGAATGCGGTTCTTTCAAATTAAACTTAATGAACTCAGTTTATCTGCTTTTATTGCATTTTTATGTTCTGATCAGTGATTCAAAGAGGCAGCGTTTGAATAAACAAAAGCAAAAATTTGAATTATATTTCTAATAGAGAATACAGGAAGTGTTAAATGGTTTTGTGTTTGGGTTTGTTATTCCTCCTCTCTTGATTTCTTGTGTTCTGTCTGACTTTATCATTTTCTAACAGTTATGTGAATTAATTAAGTAAAACTCCCTTTTTAACAGTTTGCAGATGTTTTTCTCTGCTGTCTTACTAAGGTCCAACCAAAGCATTGTTGTCACTTATGGGACTGCAGTACCGCAATATGTTGATTCTTTACATTCTCAGACATTTTACTGTAGATTTGTTGTTGTGTTTGGGATTACTATCCTTTTAATGACCCCGTTTAGGTCAGCATCCTATAATTTTTAGTAAATTTTTTCAGTACTAAAATTCCAACTTGATACTAGAAAAAATACTTGATGCTCGAAACCATGGAAACATTTTTTGGGGTAAAACATAGAGTTATTAATGCTTCCATCAAGCCATCTTCTCCCACTTAGACCCTTGTCAGCGTCGTGGTGGGGCTGGTGTCTATCTCTGGCAGTCTATGGGCGAGAAGGGTACACCATGGACAGGTCACCAGGCTGTCGCAGGAGAACATAGAGACACACAAAGACACAGAACCATGCAAACACACACCTAAGGACAATTTAGAGAAGCCAATTAACCTAACAGTCATGTTTTCGGGCTGTTGGAGGAAGCCGTAGTACCGAGAGACAACCCACGCATGCACGGGGAGATCATGCAAGCTCCATGCAGAATGACTCCAGGGAATCGAACCCAGAACCTTCTTGTTGCAAGGGAACAGTGCTACCCACTGCTATACTTTGCAGTCTGGGCTATTTATGAATAGGAGCAAAACATTTCTTTAGAACATAAAGAACTAAACTTTTCTTGATTAAGGCACACAGTCACAGTAAGGACGAGTCTTTACTGTATTTAAACAGATAAATTAAAATAAAGGAAATAGCCTCATAAATAGATCACTACAGGTTTTCTTGTAGGGATTAAAATGTGCCTAAGTATGTTAGAAATAGAGAAAACAAAAGCAAAAAAATTAATAATAATATAGAGTGCAAACATTTTTGAATTTAAACATCGAGTTAGTTGGTAAATTTTGAGTGTACTGATTTATTTATCAGATCATTTATAGATTTCTAGTTAAATTTTTTATTCTGTCATTTTCTCCTTCACAGTTCAGTGCTCCTTTAGTAAAATATGTCCCTATAAGTCACACAATTAGGAATGAAAGTAGTTTGAAATTCTTGTCAGTACTATAAAAAAAAAAAAAAGAGAAACCGGCTCATATGGTTTTCTCTTTCTTTTTTTTTTTTTGCATACAGACCAAAATAGAGGTAGCCAAATATATTATATATATATATATATATATGCATAAGTGTTGATTTAAACTTCACTTTAGATTTCAAGCCTTTCGCATCCGCATTTTGATAATTTAAGAAAATAATGAATGTTTAAATGAATGTTCATAATTATTTCAAATATTTAATGATTGATTTAAAGTGAAAAAGGAAGAGACAATTCTTTAACTGTAATATTTTTTTCAGAATTCCAGTATTTCCCTCCTTCCCCATTTATTTATTTTAAATATTAATCAATAAATGCCCTTTCTGTATTTTACACCCTTTAGAGTTGCTAGAGTTCCAGTTAGTGTGGGTTGTTTTCCTGTGTTTTTTCCTCTCCCCACCACCAGGCGGTGCCCTGTTCTCATTGGGCCTCCCTGCACACCTACGGCTTGTTGGGTCATTACCAGAGGCGTACTTGAGCTGCGGACTGTCACCACCTCGACACCAGAGTCTTTGCCAGTATTTGGTACTCTAGCCTTACCAAGATTAGCAGAGTCTAACCTTTGCCTTGTCTCTCTGAGTCTAAGCCTTGCCTTTGTCTTTGTTCTCCAGTAGGATGCCCCCCTGATCCACTGGATAAGCCTGGTTCTTCTACCCCCCTTGGAAAAAATAATTCAAGTCACACTGAGCAAGGGGAAACCATCACCAGATCTGTTCAAGCCCACTTCAGGAAAACCTGGTGACGGTCCGTTCCATTGCTCCTCTGGAAACAACGCAAGTCTTCCTGTCCGCCCTCCAATATGTTCATTCATTTCTGGATTAAACCCCCAAAAAAACTGGACCCAAGGGAAACCAGGAATCTCCCTAACGTGAGGCTTCTCCAGCTATTCACCAGTCTCAGTCATTTTCCCTACGGACCTTGAACTGATCTTTGTGATCTCCCCGAACAGTTTCTGCTTCCGGTTCACCAGACAGCAGAAGTCCCACTGCGATAACCCTGCATATAATCTCTCTTTGTTTTTTGTCAACCCCCCAACAAACCTGTTAACTTTTCCCAGGCTCTCCGAGTGAATCTCTGCATGTGGGTGAGATCTTTAAAACACATCATGACAAGAGTAGTAGATGGAAAAGCCTTTACTGTAATTACGGCAATAAAACGTAATTTGTTTTAGCTAATCTGTAACCTGTGCAACATCCAAGGAAATATTTATTTGTCCAAAGAAAGATATGAAAAAGATTAGTAGTTATTTTAACTCGTGATAAAAAAACGACATGCACAGTGCTGATGGAGAAGAGTTTGTCAGTTTTTTTTTGCACACCAGAAAACATATTGAACAAGTTTGCATAAGATTTAAACTCTGTCCACCTGTCTGACTGCATGCTCACCTGGATAACTGGAGGCACAAAAAGTACCTATAGCATATTACAGGAGGCTGCAGCTCTTCCCGGCAGCAGCACTTGTGCTGTTAGCTAAGTTTCTGCTAAACTAGTGGTTTTTGTTGCTTTCATAATGTTCATAATGCCCTCAACATACCAGTCATCACATTATAGCTAGGGCTGCAACTAACGATTATTTTAAAAATCGATGAATTGGACGATTATTTTTTCGATTAATCTATGAATCGGACAAAAAATATTTTTTATATTAACCTCTTTATTGCAAAATAAACATTTTAGACAGAACAAACAAGCACACAAGTACAGGTTGCTCATTAACTGTACTGGTGCAATGTGAAAAATAAATGTGTTAAAACTACGCAAACTTACATGAGAGTAAAAAATGTAGCTGTACATCCACAAAATATAGCGTACTTTGTTTCATAAAGTGCAAAAAAGACAGGCATTTTTGCTTTTAAAAGCCCCTAAAGGGTTCAAACAATAGGTCCCCCCATTTCAACAAATGAGTTTTTTTTAACTAGAAAAGTTCTGCCTTTTAAGACAGGAAAGTATAGCAGTTAAAGTTGCTACTTGAGAAAATACTGAACCATAGAGATAAAAATAGCCCTGTGATTCAAATTATAAATTGTATTTGGAATAAAAATTAGAGAACTAGGGGTGGTAAAAAATACATCCTCCACAGACAGATATTTACATGGGAATGTAGCATATAATTAATTGATATATTACTGATCTTGCTGGATTTTATTCTGCTTTACTTCCATAAATTGCAGGATCTTCTTTATCTTTGCCAGAAGATTTAAACTTTAAAAGCCTTGCCCTCATAATTTGCAAGTTAATTTATTTATAAAGAAAATATAAACACTGCTTAAGCTAATTCAAATGAAATTAAAAGTAAAATAAGTAGCCAACCTTATCACTGTCTGTAACCTACTAACACGGTAAGGAAAGCATCAGATGAGCTACCTGAGAAACTAACGTTACGTTTCCCCACTTTAAAACCAAACAAACATGGTCGCTCACCCTGCTGATCAGCTCTCTTCACTGCCATCGAAGGCTCCAACGTGTTTCCTTTTCAGGTGCTTCCGTGCCATGTTCATTGTTTTGACAAAAGTTGCCTGTTACAACTTTTTTCGCTTTACAAAGCGCAGGCTATTTTAATTATTGTGATCAATTTGCGCCGTCAATCCCGGCACATGCGCGCTTCATTTGCAGTCTGGACGCTGAGGGTAAACATCCTGCGGCTCTGACTGCAGCGCTGAGAGGGACTCCTGCGGGAGCGGGAGAACTGGGTTGGGATGGGGGAGGCGCTCCATGGCGGCTGATGACGCATTAATCGCGCGACACAACTAATCGATGATGAAATTCGTTGCCAACGCTTATAAAAGTCGATTTTTATCGATTCGTTGTTGCAGCCCTAATTATAGCCCATTGAAGGTTTTGCTGAATAGATGCAATGTTGTTGAAAACTTAAACAATGAAATTAAGTGCTTCCCGCATCCATGTCGCCGTTAAATGTTTCTAATTATAATGAAAGGACATATGCGTTTATTTTTAAAAAATTTTATTAACAAGAATACAAAAAATACTGTATCTACATTCACATACCGCTTAGTGCAGTATGACAGACCACAATGAGTTCAAGTAAATTTGCCCAATTTAATTATCAAAAAGCACTTTGTACATTTTTCTCAGTTTGGTCTGTATTATCGTGTCCTTTTTTTCGCCCCTTAAAAGTCTTCTTGATCCTTTTTTACATTTGGCACTTATTGCAGGTTTATCAGTGTTCCTGCAGTCCAAACGGTTTGCCGGATAGTCCAGAAAAAAAAAAAAAAGGTGACATGTATCTCCAACAGGACAGATGGAGCCTCTCCGCTGTCAGACTCCGGTTGGCACGGCGGTGGGATCGGAAGTAGAAAAGGCGACTTGGTCGTGTGCTTGTTCCCCTATCCAGGTTTTTGTTGAGATAAGCCTTCATCCTGCTTCATATACAGATCTATGGTTAACTTTATGTTTTCAAGAAATAGTTTTGGGGTTTTTAATACAAAGAGCAGAAAAATAAAAAACATATCACTTAAGACCCACATAAGAACACGGCTTCACCTCTGCATGTGACATGACCTTTAGAAGGGAGTTGAAAGCTCCTCTCTCACAAACAGAAGCTGGCTACATTATGTATTAAAAGTTACAACAGGTATGATCTTTAGGAGTTTTTCCTCTCATTACGTACAGTGCTAGTTGAAGAACCCAAATAAATTAAAGCATAAATACAAAACATGAAACAAGGAAGTAAATTAGGACCAAAAACACATCAAAAGCTTTGCTTTCTCTCAGAGTAACAGCACAAACATCTCTCTGGTGGTGTAGGGAGTTTTCATCTGGAGCCCAAACACTTTGAACCGAAGGGGCTCTGCCTCTGGCGGATTCAGACCAGAGGAGGGGGGGGATAACATGTGCTTTGAAGCTGTTCCTCCAAGAGGTCCCAAGAGGCTTAAAAAATCCAGCCTGTCTGTGAAGAAGATTTAAAACCAGCTCAGGCTGCTGCTGCAGGCTGCTGATGATCCAGCTTTCGGATGCAGAGTACGGACACATCCCAGCTTTTCTGTCTCTTCTCGTTTGTGTGTTTGGCTTTCCCCTTCCTCTACCACATCGAAGGGGTGTTTGTCTCAAGAACTCCATACATCTCTGCAAGTTTTTTAAAGCGCGGCCCCCAGTCGTTCAGGTAGTCGTACTCATGGTCGGCGTTCGACGTTCCCGACTGCAACGAGCTGAGCGAATCGGCCACCGAGCCTTCTCCTTCGTAAGCGTAGGTCTGCAGGGAGTCGTATGGCGGGGCGCACGGGTCCAGGTCGGCCTCCAGGAGCTTCGCCAGCACGTAACTGTGAACGTTGCTGTCCCCGCCGCCGCCCACGCCAATCACACACGGTTGAGGGACGTATCTGGACAGGCTCTCGATCTCCGGCATCATGTCCTGCCTCATCTTACTGAGGGGGTGGAGCACCTCGCGGGGGTTCCACATGGCGGCGATGTCAAAAGCCTCTGTGTCCTCCTCGCCGCCGCCCTCGTCGTCGTAGCGCACTATATTTTCATGCACGTTCTCCTCCTTGTCACAGAGGTAGGGCTTTTTACGGTGGGTCCGCAGCGAGAGCATGAGAAGAATCATCACTGTACAGAAGAAAAATACATCGAAGGTCAGCACAGAACCTGCTGCAATTGATGTCAGAAGAAAGTCAGAATTCTGACCTTTTCCTCAGAATTCTGACTTTAATCTCAAAATTCTGACTTTTTTTCTAAAAATTCTTACTTTAATCTCAACATTCTGACTTTTTTCTCAAACTTCTAACTCTTTTCTCAGAATTCTGACTTTAATCTCGAAATTCTGACTTTATTCTCAAAATTCTGACTTTAATCTCAACATTCTGACTTTTTTCCCAAAGTTCTAACTTTTTCTCAGAATTCTGACTTTAATCTCGGAATTTGACTTTATTCTCAAAATTCTGACTTTAGACTCAACATCCTGATTTTTTCTCTCAAAATTCTGACTTTTCATGTCAGAATTCAGACTTTTTTCCTCAAAATTCTGACTTTAATCTCAAAATTCTGACTTTTTTTCTAAAAATTCTTACTTTAATCTCAACATTCCGACTTTTTTCTCAAACTTCTAACTTTTTTCTCAGAATTCTGATTTAAATCTCAACATTCTGACTCTTTTCTCAAAATTCTGACTTTTCGTCTTAGAATTCTGACTTTAATCTTAAAATTCTGACTTTAATCTCAGAATACTGACTTTTTCCCCATATCAAGAGGTTAAACTGAAATAGAATAAAAAAATCAGTTAACATTTTTTTTTCAGTGTCCCTAATCCTCTTCCGTATATCCAATTTTTCCGCCTATGTTTTTTTAATTAGTTGTCTCAAACAAATCTCAAACGGAACAACTGGGTAAATTCTGTGTTTAAATCACGCATCTAACATACTTAGTTTCCTAATTAACTGACTTCTGAAGGCAGCTGGTGATTTTATTAAAATCTCTCCTCTGTGTGATGTAATGGCCTAAAGGGGGAGATAAAGTGCCTCCTTCTCAGCCTCGGGTGGCGGAGACGGCAGGACTACGGGACATTTGGTGCTAATGATCACCAGATGTTTCACTGGGGAGAGGAAGGATATTTAATCCACTAATGATGCTGTCAAACAGGGAGAACTCCTTTTACCAACCTCTTTTACTTACTCATCTGTCTGAGTTTATCATTATCTGTAGTTATTTTAATTATGTAAACAGTTTATGGACTTTGCTTTCAGTCTACAAATGGTGTCAGACACCATGTAGGAACAACGTTTAAAGGTACAAAGTCAAATTTTATGCTTATACCAAAAAGACCAGTTGATTATGATAAAATAAAGCCGTATACTCCAAAAGCCCGCCCTGTTCTAATGACCCTTTTTGAGCCTAAATAGAAACCCAGCACCCGGTGGCGTGAGCTGACATAAACAGATGTTGGTCCATCTACTAGCAGTACCAACAATGCTGTAATGCCATTGCTAAAATCAGTAGCACATTAGCATGGTAATGCACTTGTATTGTTGGACATGTATTTTAACTTTATAGATTGCATCCTTAGTTTTAGGTTCCAACTCCAACAGTCAGACTGCTTTCCTGGAGCAACTTTACTTTTATCCCTCTTGAAATTAAACATATTTTGTCCATTTTTACACTTGATCTTCAACTTTTCTTTTAACCCTAACCCTTCCATGGTGCTTGTCTACTAATAACAGTCATAAGATGTTGTTATGGTAAAAAGATAGAGGGTATATTTACTTACAACCTGAGCAAAAACAAAGCTTAACAGAAATGTCATTTAGTGGCATTGTATTGCCAAAGGCTGGTAGTAACTAGTTACATTTACTTGGGTAACTTTCAGAAAAAAAATACATTTTGCTTCAGTAATGCATTATTGTATTTATCACTTTTACTTCACTGATATTCAGGTATAATTATGGGTTTTCATTACCATTTTTTATTTTATTTTGTAATCTTATTTATCTAATTTTTTATTGTGGAATCTGATCATTTTCATTTTCTAATTACATCATTTTAATGATTAATTCAGAATAAAATGTTACTCAGTATTTTAGTATCACTTTAGCACTCTTACTAGGTTTACTTAAGGAAAAAGAATCCAAGAGTATTATAACCTTTACTTGGGTAAAATATTTGGTTACTCTGCCCATTGCTGGTTATTACTCACCCAGTAGGACGAAGATGCAGGCCAGTATAGCAATCAGTGCTCCTTTGCTGAGGCTGGCAGGCAGGCTGAAGGCCTCGGCGTTGCACGTCATGACGTTTCCATCTTGGTCGCAGCTGCAAACCCGAATGGTCAGAGTGCTCGTACTGGTCTGCATCGGCTGCTCGCCGTCAGACACGAAGATGGGCAAGTAGAAGACGGTCTGGTCTTGGAGTGACCAGCCTCCGCGGCGCGTCAGGATCCACGCCGTGTTGTCTGAAACAAAATTATGGATGGGTTGATGTTTGTAGATCCAGCGTGTGGATTTTTTCATTACAGTCAGTCAAACTTTCCTCTCTGTATCAAAGGCTACGTTTACACTGCAGGCCTTGTGGCTCAATTCAGATTTTTTTTTGTTAAATCCGATTAAATCCGACCAGTTGCCGTCCACATTTCCAAATATATGCGACTTGTATGTCATCTCTTGTGTGAACTGCACTTATACAGCTTAAGTGTTCCACATGCGCAGTAGAGGACGCAATGACGTCACAAGCCAGCATGCTCTCTGTTTACAGAAGTAAGCATAGATGGTAGTGCTGGAGCGCATCTAGCGATTTTTTCCAACCTTAAAAACTCAAACCTTTTCAAGATAGTAAAAAAAAAAAAAGTGCATCATCATCCACCATGGTTGTTTTTTTTCTTCCCCCTTTTATGGACAAGATGCAGAATAGAGACCTTTGTTGAGTATTAATGATGTTCAGGTTGGATGAATGCGAACTGTGTCTGAACGGCCAGTTCGCATTCATCCGACCTGAAAATGATTGAAAAGATCAGATTCGTATCGGATTCAGGACCACATAGCCAAGTGGCCTGGGTCGCACTGGAAAAATGTCAAATCTGTGTTGTTCGGACTGTCATGAAAAGATCAGATACGTATCGGATTCAGGACCACATAGCCAAGTAGCCTGGGTCGCACTGGAAAAATGTTGGATCTATGTTGTTCGGACTGTCATGAAAAGATCAGATACGTATCGGATTCAGGACCACATAGCCAAGTAGCCTGGGTCGCACTGGAAAAATGTCGGATCTGTGTTGTTCGGACTGTCATGAAAAGATCAGATACGTATCGGATTCAGGACCACATAGCCAAGTAGCCTGGGTCGCACTGGAAAAATGTTGGATCTATGTTGTTCGGACTGTCATGAAAAGATCAGATACGTATCGGATTCAGGACCACATAGCCAAGTAGCCTGGGTCGCACTGGAAAAATGTCGGATCTGTGTTGTTCGGACTGTCATGAAAAGATCAGATACGTATCGGATTCAGGACCACATAGCCAAGTGGCCTGGGTCGCATTGGAAAAATGTCGGATCTGTGTTGTTCGGACTGTCATGAAAAGATCAGATACGGATCGGATTCAGGACCACATAGCCAAGTAGCCTGAGTCGCACTGGAAAAATGTCGGATCTATGTTGTTCGGACTGTCATGAAAAGATCAGATACGTGTCGCATATGGGCAAAAAAAATCGGATATGGGTCGCTTCAGGCAGCAGTGTGAACGTAGCCTAAGTCTTGTGCTCTTGAAGTGAAGCATCTTGGAAAAGAAGCTCAGAGCCATGGTACAAAAGCTGAGAATATTCAGGGATGAATTAGTCACTGGTGGTTATTCAAAACTTGTGAGGTAAGTATTGCTTAAAATAAGCAAATTTATGAAACCTAGCATGCTACCTTAAAAGCCGCAATTATAGTATAGTTTATTTACAGGTGAATGAAACATGATGTAGTTAGGATGAGGTCCAAAATATATTGAACAAAAAAAAGGCGGAGTCTGCTCTCCTCTGCTTTGCCGTGTTCTGCTGTGAGATTCAGGTTTGAATGAAGGGGGGAGGGGGAGTGCAACTTTCAAATCTTATTAGCTGTCCATCATTACCATAGCATAGATTTAAATATTTACAGTTGTAGAGAAGCTTCTAGTTCCTGGTCACGGGATATGTACAGGAGAAATGGACACATCTAAGATGCTCACACAACATCCAATTAAAGAGTAGATTAGTACATTAGTTTTTAGTGTGTTATTCACTAAAGAATTTAATCTATGAAGCCAGTTTCCTACAGTTTTTGTTGAAAACTAAAGGGAGTTTCTAATTTTCTTCATCAAGGTTATTGTTTTAATCTAAAGGTAAGAAGAATAAATAAACTAATTTGGTATAATTGTATTCCAGTTTACATTCATGCTGATTTTGCGGTTTCTACCTTAATCAGTTAAATAACATTCTGCTGTCATTCTGCACATCTCTGATGTTGCTGCTATGTTCAAATATCCATTACCGTGAAAATGTCCATAGCTGCATATTGGTTATTTATTCTTTAGGTGCACAGTTTTTATATTGTTAAAAAACTTTACAGTACAGTATTTTATTTGTTTATTTTTGAACTCTTCACTATTATGTTATTATCTAAGGTCTTGTGTGACCATATTTTTTATAATCTTTTGCTGCTGCAGACACAAGAATTTGCCCATTGTGGGACAATAAAGGGATTATCTGTTCTATTCTATTTCTATTCTATTCTGTTTTGTTCAGATCTATAAGTCTACAGTAGCAGTTGGGGGTTGGGGAACTACTGTAACATGTGGAGGCTGTTTGTCCTCCACTCACAGCAGTGTAGACAGCTGGAATCGTCTGTATAGAGCTCACTGCCATAACTTGGTGTCTCAGATCGTCTACCTTGGTTGTCTCTCAGTGTGAAGTTGGGGTTGTTAGCGGCCTCTGGAGCCAAGCTGTAGTAGAAGCGCTGCCCCCCCAGAGGCTCATCTGGGTCCACCGCCGTGACGGTCTGGATCAGCTGCAACACAGAGACAGATGGAGTCATGAAGCCATTATTGTAGACAGTATGAATGGGTAAACATCCATCCATCCATCCATCCATCCATCCATCCATCCATCCATCCATCCATCCATCCATCCATCCATCCATCCATCCATCCATCCATCCATCTTTTCACGCATCCATCCATTCATTCTTCCATCCATTCTTCCATCCATGCATCCATCCATCCATCCATCCATCCATCCATCCATCCATCCATCCATCCATCTTTTCACGCATCCATCCATTCTTCCATCCATTCTTCCATCCATTCTTCCATCCATTCTTCCATCCATCCATCCATCCATCCATCCATCCATCCATCCATCCTACTGTATAATATCCATCCATCCATTATTCCATCCATCCATCCATCCATCCATCCATCCATCCATCCATCCATCCATCCATCCATCCATCCATCCATCCATCCATCCATTCTTTCGCCTATCAATCCTACTGTATAATATCCATCCATCCATCCATTCTTTCGCCTATCAATCCTACTGTATAATATCCATCCATCCATCCATCCATCCATCCATCCATCCATCCATCCATCCATCCATCCATCCATCCATCCATCCATCCATCCATCCATCCATACCTGTCCCGCTTTAGCATTTTCACAAACAAATGTCTCCAAGTAATGCGCCAGCGATGGAGGATTATCGTTAACGTCCAGGACCCTCACAGCTACAGACACGCTTGCGATCTGCGATGGATTATCTGCAGAAAACAGAAAAAAACAAACCAAGATGTCTTAAGATGTGAGTAGAGATGTTACTTCTAGAGGACCGTGTTGGTCCTGCTTAATCTTCCCCCCATTTCCTTCCACCCTTCAGCACATTACAGCTTCTCACCCTTCATCACCATTCTATTACTCTTCATTACAGTCAGCGATTTGCATACCTTAACCAACTGTGTAATGGGCTATAAAAACAATTAGAGAGCGGTAACTACTTTCTCAGCTTTCATCACACAATTGATCAATCAGCAATGTAACTTGGATTTTGGAGGTCAGAGCTCCATGGGACTCGGTAGGGACCACCTCTCCATCCCCTGTGACATGTCAGCATTTTCTTCACTCACTAATGTTATACTATCAAGAGACACTAATCCAGTTCAGTACTTCTCTGCTCTGAGCAGTGCATCACTTTTAGCTATCTGTTATGGAGTCAGCTGGTTCTGACACATTTGAAATAGTTCTGTTTGAACTGTTTGAAATGTTGCTCCTAACTACCACAGTAGTTAGGAGCAACATTTATGAAGGGCCCATTTTACCCTGAGGGCCCCTAAGATAACCTGCTACACAAATCCAAGGACGTTTTATATACCTTTACATCTACCAGCAACCTGTTTTTTGTTTTGTTTTTGATTGATAAAAACAAAAAGAAAAAGGTTACACAAAAATAACTTAATCTGAAGGAAAATAATCCACATTTGCAAATCAAAACTCTAAATATAAGTTTATCCTCACTAACTTTGACAAATTACTTTAGAGTTTCCTTGCTTGTTCAAATTAAAATGTATTTTATACTGTAGTTTCTTTATCATGCCCTTACTGGTTATCTGACATAAAAGGAGCTTTCCTCTATTTACCACAGTTGTCTCTATAGGTGCCATTAGATCATTTATCACATGTATGTGAGTGTGACGCTGTGGTTTTCATGCAGGAGCATCTCAAGGCCAATCAAAGACTCCACACGATAAGAAAAAAGTGTGACTTTTGTCTGCTTGATTGCATAGAAAAAGACATTGCTAACATCAGGTCAGCTTTCAAAAAGTAGCGAGCTCAGATCTGTCCTGGAAACGGCCCCCTATTTGCAACAAAGGTAAGATGTTATGTTAAGAATAACTAGAATATTAATAACTTTCTATAGCTGTGCAGCTGCAGCAGCAGGCTGCGTGGTTTTCCTCCTCTCCTATGTGTCTGCACAAAACTTAGTGTCATTTCCACTTATTGCCAGAGGAGGAGGGGACTCTGAAACTTGGACTTTGTTTCTTTAAGCTGTCAGGCTGGATAGAGATGATCTGAACAGCCGTTTTAAAGATTTGCCATAGAACTGCCTTTAGATTTAATTCTGGACTTTGACTGGGCCAGCCTGATAAATAATTATGCATTCATATTGGGCTAAACTACTAATAATTGAATAGTCCAAGATTCTTTAAAGAAGACTTTTTTAAAGAAATTAAGCAGGTATAATTACTGCTCTAAGTTGGTTCATCTGCTGGAAGAACTGTGGTGAACTGGTGAAAGAAAAGTGAAATGGTGCTTAAAGATGACCCTGAACATTTAGAGGATGTTTGGCTCAACCTGCTGCTGTGAAGCAGGATTCTCCACCATGAACAGAATCTAAAATAAACATGGATGCAGGATCAAAATGAGCTCCTTGATATGTGCTTTAGAATGGCTTTGTCTCCATTCAAACCAGGTTTAAAGCCTTACAGGGCAGCATAAAGCCCACTGCCAACATTAAGACAGAAAAAGAGATAAAAAAAAAAAAAAAAAAGAATAGAAAAGAAAAAAATATATGTGAATCATATTTTCTATTAAAAAAAGTCTATGCATAACATGGATGCATAAAAAACAAATTTTATTTCAGTGTTAAAATCTGTTTAACGTAACAAATTAAAATAAACATAATGTAAAATAAATAATAGATATAAAAATGTCTCCGGACATTTAGTGCTTGTTGATTTTCTTTATTCGGACCCCACTGATATTTAATTAGTTACCCCTGGAATAATTCATATACGGTGAATTGTTGCTGTTAGTTTTTCTGGTCCTCAGATCAGATCATTATTGCTTTTTGAACAGAAAGGATAGTCAGATAAGTGAACAAGAGTAAATGATCGAAGTTTCTTCCAGTTGACTTTCTAAATAAATCAGCTCCTTTATTTGTGCCTCGTCATTGTTTTGTTACCTCCTGCCTCGCTCTGCTGCACATTTACTCCCTACCTCTGCCCTCTTTGTCTACCTGATTTTCAATTAGCCACCATGAGAGAAGTTATCTAATCAGCCGTTGATTCCATTACCGCCTCCTTTAAGGTGTGTCGAGCAAACAAAGACTAACAAACAAAGCAGATGGTTAAAGGCTGAAGGTGACTTGGTGCATCTAGCTGGGGGGGTGGGCTGTTTTAAAGAGTCTTGACATGAGGAGTTTTAAGTGTCGCTTTCATCTTAATGCTGTTTAGTTGATCAAAGTTTCTTAGATTTGAACTGTAATGATAGATGTTGTTTGTACTCACTCATCTCCATGGCCAGGACTGTGATGTTGTGCCAGCCCACCTCCTCTCGGTCCAGTGACCGCACCGTCATCAGCGCCCCGGATGTGATTTCAATGTAGAAGAATTTTTCAGGGTCACTCGTCCTTTCGATGGAGTACCTATAAGATAACACACGTGTATCATCACATCAGCTCTAAGTAAAGTGCGCCCGTAATCCTATCTGAGGGCCGCGGCGCACTCCTATCTGACTCTGCACGTGCGTGCATGTGTGCGGTCGGGAGATAAGGCGTCACACTGGCAGCTCCTGGAGGCGCGGTAAGGAGAAGACGTTCCTCATCGGAGGCTTAATCAGAGTACCTGTTCTCTGTGCCAAACAGACGGCAGGGAGACACAAACCTGCAGAGAGCTGCTTTGGCTCGTCTGCTGTCACTGTGGGCCCGATTCCAAAAAGAGCCCTTCTGAAAGAGCCCAGCAAAAGGAAGATACACAGAGGAAGGAGAGGGACGCTCAATATAAAGGGATTTATTGGCGATTCTCAAAGGGAAGAAGATTATGCAAAAAAAAATATCTATAACTATCTATAACAGATGTTTTCAGGAATTCACTGCTCTTATAGAAAATAAAGTTAAATTCATTTTTCATGAATCAAGCCTTAGACATTTTCAGCTCATAGATTGAACTTTAACCCCCAGGTGGTCAGATGTCCACTAACTATAGGGATGAATGAAGAAAATAAAAACATGGCGACGTCGCGGGAAAAGCAATATTTTCCTCATCTCAATACAAATACTGTGCAAGACAGAGACGCCTCATAAGTGGGACACAGACTCCACCAATATGTGCTTCCATTTCCCACTGCTGACCTGTTAATAGCTGGGATTCTATTACAAATGTGCACAAAGCCATGTCCATATTACGCTGATTTTGCTGGATTGTAATGTGCATGCACTTGGTTGGTTAATCAGCAAGAAGCAAGACCTCCATATCTGGTATCTAGAACTCCTGTGCCTTAAGGAGTAGTTTGATACTCAGTTATATATGAGACCTAATTGCTGAATTCCACCCATGACCCCCCAGAGGTGTCTATAATGAGAAACAAAGATTTCTAATATTTCAGCCTAGATTGTATTTGGCTGCTGTTTTTATAAGGGAAGCTTTTATTATTGCTGTGTTGATTGGGCGCTCAGCTTTAATTAATACTCCCACTCCTTATTTGTCTTGAGACGTTTGAAGCTGCATTAAAGCAGCATAGAAGGCTTAAAGAAGCAGCGTATATGGACATGCAGACTTTTAATAGGATTGGTAACCAAACATTGCATGTCTCAGACCAATAAATGATTTATAAATAAATGTTCCATACATTTTTTGTGAGTCAATTAAGTTGCAGAGCTTCTGTATTTATTGTTAGCAGGTGGGGACAGTCATGACTGGCACATCCACTGCTGGTGAGGGTCCCCCCTGAGGATCTGTATTAATATCATTCATCCAGTGACTTGATGAAGGTGGTGGGTGGGCAGCAGGGTTTCCATGTACAGGTGCTGGTCATAAAATTAGAATATCATGAAAAAGTAGATTGATTTCAGTAATTCCATTTAAAAAGTGAAACTTGTATATTATATTCATACATTACATACAAACTCATATATTTCAGATGTTTATTTTGTTTAATTTTGATGATTACAAATGACAACAAATGAAAATCTCAAATTCATCATATCAGAAAATTAGAATATTGTGAAAAGGTTCAAAATTGATGGCCCCTGGTGCCACACTCTAATCAGCTAATTAACTCAAACCACCTGCAAAAGCCTTTAAATGGTCTTTCAGTCTAGTTCTATAGGCTACACAATCATGGGGAAGACTGCTGACTTGACAGTTGTCCAAAAGACGACCATCGACACCTTGCATAAGGAGGGCAAGACACAAAAGGTCATCGCTAAAGAGGCTGGCTGTTCACAGAGCTCAGTGTCCAAGCACATTAATAGAGAGGCGAAGGGAAGGAAAAGATGTGGTCGAAAAAAGTGTACAAGCAAGAGAGATAACCGCACCCTGGAGAGGATTGTGAAACAAAACCCCTTCAAAAATGTGGGGGAGATTCACAAAGAGTGGACTGCAGCTGGAGTGAGTGCTTCAAGAACCACCACACACAGACGTATGAAAGACATGGGTTTCTGCTGTCGCATTCCTTGTGTCAAGCCACTCTTGAACCACAGACAGCGTCAGAAGCGTCTTGCCTGGGCTAAAGAGAAACAGGACTGGACTGCTGGTGAGTGGTCCAAAGTCATGTTCTCTGATGAAAGTAAATTTTGCATTTCCTTTGGAAATCAAGGTCCCAGAGTCTGGAGGAAAAGAAGAGAGGCACTTCATCCACGTTGCTTGAAGTCCAGTGTAAAGTTTCCACAGTCAGTGATGGTTTGGGGTGCCATGTCATCTGCTGGTGTTGGTCCATTGTGTTTTCTGAGGTCCAGGGTCAACGCAGCCACATACCAGGAAGTTTTAGAGCACTTCATGCTTCCTGCAGCTGACCAACTTTTTGGAGATGCAGATTTCATTTTCCAACAGGACTTGGCACCTGCACACAGTGCCAAAGCTACCAGTACCTGGTTGAAGGACCATGGTATCCCTGTTCTTAATTGGCCAGCAAACTCTCCTGACCTTAACCCCATAGAAAATCTATGGGGTATTGTGAAGAAGAAGATGCAATACACCAGACCCAACAATTCAGAAGAGCTAAAAGCCACTATTAGAGCAACCTGGGCTATCATAACACCTGAGCAGTGCCACAGACTGATCGACTCCATGCCACGCCGCATTGCTGCAGTAATACAGGCCAAAGGAGGCCCAACTAAATACTGAGTGCTGTACATGCTCATACTTTTCATGTTCATACTTTTCAGTTGGCCAACATTTCTATAAATCCTTTGTTTTTATTGGTCTTCAGTAATATTCTAATTTTCTGATATGATGAATTTGAGATTTTCATTTGTTGTCATTTGTAATCATTAAATTAAACAAAATAAACATCTGAAATATATGAGTTTGTATGTAATGTATGAATATAATATACAAGTTTCACTTTTTAAATGGAATTACTGAAATCAATCTACTTTTTCATGATATTCTAATTTTATGACCAGCACCTGTATCTGCCAGTTGTGCTTCAGGCGGGGAAAGGAGATAAAGATGTGAAATGGAAACTGAAGGTCACCTGCTGTTGTTGTTGTTTATCATCTGTTGTTCTTTTTGCTGCTGCAACCACAGACTCTTCTGCTATCTGCGCCTCAAGCCGAATACTGAAACCAGCTCGCTAACGATCTGGGATTTCAGATTTGTTTCGTTTTTTTTGTGTGTTTTTTTTTTTTTACCAAACTGATATGAAGATACCCTAATAAAAGGCATGATCTTCGGCTGGTCAGAAAACTTCAACTTCAGAATTTTCTTAATTCAGGTTTATTTTCCATTTGTTTCAGCAGCTAAATAAGATCATCTACTAATTGAACGAGTATTTTTGGCCTTGAAATATAATAATTAGATATTATTCACTGGAAATGAGAACCAAGGCGTGTTTTTTCTTCCTCAAAGGTAAATCCTCTTCCTGTATTGGAATTTTTTTTTATTTTAAGAAAAACTGACCCACTTAGATTGCAGTGTGCTAAACTCTTGTTGAAAATAAATAATTGATCAGTTTGGAATTGAGAAATTATCAAAAACTAATTTTAATATGATAATATATGTGATTTATATTTTAAGTTTTTCAATGATATGAAATATGTATGTACAAGTAAAACAGGGGTGTCAAACTAGGACATTAATACCAGATATACCAGCATAAAAAGGCATTTGCTTAATACTTATACATATTCTAAAGTATTTTACTATTGCACAAAACATAAAAACTACCATTCAAAATAAAAAATTTGTGAAAATATTGTTTTGAAGTTTTTTTTTTTCTTTTTTCTTTTTTTTTACCACATTTAAGTGAAATTAAATATTGATAGATCTTGTTTTAATAAAACCTTGGTTGTAAGACTGTGTGATCCTTTTACATTTTTATCTCTGTAATAAAAGTAAAGTAGGTAAAAGGAAAGAGATAAAATGAGAGATGTCAGATGAAATGTTTGTCAAACAGCATCATCTGTTACTTTTGAAGCTTATTTATGTTTTAAATGACAGCTGAGACCTCATGCTGCCGATGCCTTCATATGATTATAATTATATAATTTTATGTTTAATTACTTTAGGTACTCTGGAGAGTAATGCCACTGCTGTTTTCTTTTAATAAAGGACACAAAATGTTGCAGACATATTTATTTTAGTGGTTTAGTGGTTCTGATCTTTAGATGTCCTAATAAGAGGCGTGGAAAAGGCTTTATTGGGTGATCACCCTAAACATCCTTTATAATACTGCCCTCTGGTGGTAAAATGGTAACATTACATAATTTTAACCTTTTCTGAATACAGGGGCTGGTCATAAAATTAGAATATCATGAAAAAGTAGATTGATTTCAGTAATTCCATTTAAAAAGTGAAACTTGTATATTATATTCATACATTACATACAAACTCATATATTTCAGATGTTTATTTTGTTTAATTTTGATGATTACAAATGACAACAAATGAAAATCTCAAATTCATCATATCAGAAAATTAGAATATTGTGAAAAGGTTCAAAATTGATGGCCCCTGGTGCCACACTCTAATCAGCTAATTAACTCAAACCACCTGCAAAAGCCTTTAAATGGTCTTTCAGTTTAGTTCTATAGGCTACACAATCATGGGGAAGACTGCTGACTTGACAGTTGTCCAAAAGACGACCATCGACACCTTGCACAAGGAGGGCAAGACACAAAAGGTCATCGCTAAAGAGGCTGGCTGTTCACAGAGCTCAGTGTCCAAGCACATTAATAGAGAGGCGAAGGGAAGGAAAAGATGTGGTCGAAAAAAGTGTACAAGCAAGAGAGATAACCGCACCCTGGAGAGGATTGTGAAACAAAACCCCTTCAAAAATGTGGGGGAGATTCACAAAGAGTGGACTGCAGCTGGAGTGAGTGCTTCAAGAACCACCACACACAGACGTATGAAAGACATGGGTTTCTGCTGTCGCATTCCTTGTGTCAAGCCACTCTTGAACCACAGACAGCGTCAGAAGCGTCTTGCCTGGGCTAAAGAGAAACAGGACTGGACTGCTGGTGAGTGGTCCAAAGTCATGTTCTCTGATGAAAGTAAATTTTGCATTTCCTTTGGAAATCAAGGTCCCAGAGTCTGGAGGAAAAGAAGAGAGGCACTTCATCCACGTTGCTTGAAGTCCAGTGTAAAGTTTCCACAGTCAGTGATGGTTTGGGGTGCCATGTCATCTGCTGGTGTTGGTCCATTGTGTTTTCTGAGGTCCAGGGTCAACGCAGCCACATACCAGGAAGTTTTAGAGCACTTCATGCTTCCTGCAGCTGACCAACTTTTTGGAGATGCAGATTTCATTTTCCAACAGGACTTGGCACCTGCACACAGTGCCAAAGCTACCAGTACCTGGTTGAAGGACCATGGTATCCCTGTTCTTAATTGGCCAGCAAACTCTCCTGACCTTAACCCCATAGAAAATCTATGGGGTATTGTGAAGAAGAAGATGCAATACACCAGACCCAACAATTCAGAAGAGCTAAAAGCCACTATTAGAGCAACCTGGGCTATCATAACACCTGAGCAGTGCCACAGACTGATCGACTCCATGCCACGCCGCATTGCTGCAGTAATACAGGCCAAAGGAGGCCCAACTAAATACTGAGTGCTGTACATGCTCATACTTTTCATGTTCATACTTTTCAGTTGGCCAACATTTCTATAAATCCTTTGTTTTTATTGGTCTTCAGTAATATTCTAATTTTCTGATATGATGAATTTGAGATTTTCATTTGTTGTCATTTGTAATCATCAAAATTAAACAAAATAAACATCTGAAATATATGAGTTTGTATGTAATGTATGAATATAATATACAAGTTTCACTTTTTAAATGGAATTACTGAAATCAATCTACTTTTTCATGATATTCTAATTTTATGACCAGCACCTGTAATCCCTCCTCACTACAACAAAGGAAAAACACAACTGATGGAGAGGCTGGAAATCTGGTACTTTTGCTTAAACTCTACATATTATTTCTTTTAATTTGCCAGTTTTAATATTGTTTGTTCTGAATTACAATTAGTATAACAAGGTCTCTGAATGGTTAAACCATTCATAACTGTTACATAAATTGAAAAAGGAAGTTTATATCTAAATAAATCTCAGGTTTTTTTTTTTTTTTTTAGAATATTACTATTTATATGTATATGGCAAATATCAAGTTAGTCAATATGTGGCAAAAACAACAAACAAAAGAGATTTACATCTGGATTTGTTTTATATCCGACACATAAGATGATATATAGTCTGGAAACTAAGACTAACTCTATTTATTCATGTATAAACTCTAAAAATCTGCTGTTTAGGATTTTTTCAGTCTGTCTTCATACCTCACTGTGTTGTTGGCAGCATCTGGATCTCGCGCTGACACTGTCTTCAACATGGTCCCGATCTCAGCGTTTTCTGGAAGCTCGATGTAGTACGACGGCGAGTCAAACAGGGGCGGTTCGTCCACGTCTTCCACGCTCACGTGTACGATGGTGACGTCCTTGAAGGGCCCGCGGTGACGGAAGGTGGGGTCCAGGTGGGTGTTGGCTCCCTCCACCTTTAGGGTGTAGCTCGGCTTGTGCTCAAAGTTTAATGGCTGGAGGAGAGATCCATAAAGTGTTTTAGAAATAAAGACGTAAAGTTTGGAAAAGAAAGTCGGCTTTGTTCTGTTGAAAAGATTTGAAACTAAATAAATTTGAATTCTGGATTAGTCACAGCTGTTATCATATCAGAGGCGGTTCCAGACCAAATGTACCAGGGGGCCAGCGTGTTTTCATGGGGGCACAGAGAGTATGAAATAAAAAACAGGGCCAGGGATTCAAATATATAAGAGCTGCATGAAGTGAAATTTCTATTCAATTAGGTTTAATTAAAATTAGATTTCATATTAGGTCAATATACACTCATAATTTAGGAATGTTACATATTTTTTTGACTTAATTTAAGTTAAAATTACCGTTTTCTATAAAATCTGAATTAGAGCATTTTTTTCATTTGTTTAAAAAAAAAAAAAAACATTTAGCAGATGAAAACTGGGATCCTATCTCTATACCCCTGAAGCTATCACCTTGTTTTTAAATAATTAGTAAAACATAATTTTTAAAGAAAACAAATGAAATAGATCCAAATTTATCATTAAGCATGCCTGTTCCAGCACATATCATCATTAGAACTTCTTTAAGTATTATGTCTTCAGTACAGGGGTCATAATAGGGGCCAGGACATAATCTACAGGGGTACTGGCCCCCCATTGGATCCTGTCTAGAACCACCCATGTACTAAATACATGATTAAGTGGGCCAATTATTAAAAACACTTTTATTAAGTACGTGTTTACTTTTCAAAATATATATTTTGAATTTGAAATGTAAATTTAGGTCTTCATTTAGAGTCTTATTTGTGAATCCATTTTGCATTTACACTTAAGTCTAACAATTCATTCCTTAATGTTTTATCAGTCTTAACCATTTAATGATACATATGCAGTTGTGCTCTAAAGTTTACATACCCTTCCATTAAAGACCAGTAAAATCAATTGATATACTTGGCATACTAGGGTTGTCAAAAGTATCGATACTCCAAAAAGTATCGATACTGAAACGTTGTATCCGGATACAATACTCATTTTCAAAAGTATCGATACAGTGCCACCACCAGTGGCACCTAAGCAGTCATTAATCTAAAGTGCAGAATAGAGGAAAATGCACTTTCAGAACACTGTGTGATTGAATAATTCTGTGCACTTTTCAGTTTCAGACTTTTTTTTTGTAACAGGTGCAGCTGCTGAGAATTATTTTTGTTTCTTAACCGGTTTGGCTAGTGTCATTGTTATGTGTGTAAAGCATAGCCAAGGAAGGAACACTTCATTTTAATTTTGAAATTTTTTTTTTTCAAGCTTGCTAAATACGGTGCACAGCATACAACCTCAAAATGTTGTTCTTATTGTTTATTGTATTTATTTATTTATTGTATTTTAATTATTAATCAAAATATTTCTGTTGAAATTTGGAAATTTTATCCTTGTGGTATCGAAAATGGTATCGAGTATCGGTATCGAGTTGAAAAATTTAGCATCGTGACAACCCTAATACATACATATGTATATATTAATTGATAAAACAAATAAACAAGCCTGACAGAGCAGCTGAACTACAATTTTGTTGATCAATAATTTGAAATCTGATGTTTCCGTTCAGTAAATATTCAGTCAGATTCCTGCACCTGTGCACAGGTATGCTGGTTAAATGTTCATCAGCAAGCTGCTTTCATTCAACAGACACCATTTGTTTTTTTTTAGAATTTGTTTTATTAAACAAAAACTTCAAAATCAATATTTTATTTTATTAAAATATCATTCAGAAAATTGTTATTTATTATTGCCTTTTCTGTTTTGTGTTATTTGAATTCCTTGTGTGAATTTATCATTTCTAATAGGAATGTAAACTTTCAAGCACAACAGTATCACTACATTGTTCTTTATTAATAAATATATACAAATTTATAGTAAAATAAAAAGAGAATTAAAAGAGAGATTTTGTATATACTTATGCAAAATATATATATTTTTCTTTCCTTGAGAATGTTAACAGCATTTTCATTTATATTTAATGAACGTTCTCTAAGTAAAAAATGTAGCAAAGAAAAAATATATAATTAAAATAATGATTAAAATGCTGTAAATATGAGAAATGAAAGAAATAATACAAACTTAAGGAAAAGCAAGTCATTCAGATAGGAAAGAAGGTAAAAACAACCTAAGCATTTTATTCTTTTCACAGTAAATCCATTACTTCGATTAACATTGAACCGTTTACCTTTTTCACCGTGATGATGCCAAAGAGGTTGGTGGAGTCTGTGCTGATGTCAAAGGTGTCCCTCCCATCTCCGTCAATGATGCTGTATTTCATCTCAGCGTTGACCCCAACGTCCCGGTCCTTGGCCCAGATCCGACCCACCACTGAGCCGACAGGGGCTGACTCAGGCACACTCATCTGATAGAGCCCTGCACACATAAATCAGCCACACTACACTTCACATATATGTCCTCTAGGGGGAGCCAAACTCCTTCCCTGTATCGGAACTGATCTTTGACTGGGAGCCACTTATCAGACAGGCTAGAATAAATGGCTCCATAAACTCCTGCTGGTGATATGCTGCCTCATGGGCCAGCTTGAATTTTATCTTCCATTTAACCTCAAAGAAAAGGTGACAGTTGCCCAATTTGTGGTGTTCCTCACAATTTATTGCGGTATGCCAACTCAACACAGGGGTTTTACAGCTGATCAAACTTCCCTTAAACAGCAGCACTAGTCGGTCTGAGCTAATTGGTTAGGGAGGATGGAGGTAGAGGTGGGCGCTGAGTTTTATCTTCCCTTCGCCAAGTGAAGATGACCACAGTAACCTCCTAACCTCAGGACAGTGATGAGGAAAATAAGTGTTGGTTGAGAGGAAGAACATGAGAGGGGTAAGGTACCACGAGGTAAACAACATGGAGCTGATGGGATACTTTGAGTGATTGAACTGGACTGAGGGGCTGAGGACATTGCTGGAAACCAAAGAAAAAAAAACTAAGATTATAGATCTAATATTTCTATTTTAGATCCCACTTTTTTCATTCGTTAGATGAAGCACGTTTCGGAAGACTTTGCATCCAGATCCACAGCGACGCTGATAACACAGGGTACTGATCTCATTTCCCTTAATGATGCAGATCCATTCAATTAATGTTGGTTACAGAAAATGTTCTTAGGTTTGGCAAGGCAGGGACTAATGTGCAATAAATCAACAGGAAAATGGATGCAAACAACATCTATATTTTCCAAATAGATCCCTGAAGCCAGGCCAGATTTTTATGAGGGTCTTGCTAACAAGGCTACACACATATTGATATATTTGTTCCATTTAAATTAATTTATTCTTCTCTTCTAATATAGTCATTAAATTTGTTGAGCACTTGTTCTTTATCTTTAATTACATAAAAGACTTCTAGTTGATTGCACAGACAAACTTCCCCCATTAAACTCTAAAAGCAAATTCATAAAAAATATATTAAATGTCATAGTTGGATATTTTACCTGAAGGTATCACTGCTGCCACCTTGTGGTTTAGAGGAGAATTTCTTGTTCCAGAGGTGGTGAATAACACCCCCAGGTGTTATTCACCACCTTAAATTGTCTTCAAATAAGGACAGAAATCGATCATTGATGATGGGTCATGAGCTTCAGAAGTGTGCGACGGATAACCAAAAAATGTGGTATGTGTTTTATTCTCTGGACTTCAGGGTAAATTGGCTAATTTTATTTAAGTGTCTCAAACTAGTTGTTCCTTAACAACTGAATCAAGCAATGATTATTCATAAACCTGCAGTACTTTCATGCAAAAAGTTAATTTTTTTCAATTAATAAATGGGTTTTGCAAACTTCTAACCATTTCTATCAAGTTAAATGATTTATTTGTTTTTGCTTGTAATCTGATTTGTTGGTTTGCTTGTTTTATTTTGATGGTCTGCCAGTATAGATTGGTTTTATTTTACATGTTTATGATACAGTCTTAGTTTGATCTCACTGGTCTGGACGTCAGACTTTGGGATTTTAAAGGCACAGAGTAGTTTCCCATTTGTTGCAGTGCAGAAACATCAAGCATTAAAAGCTGCAGACTGTGTTTGCAGCTATTTGTTTACCGTCAATGAACTGTTGCGAGCATCAGGAGTGGTAACAAAGTGCACGGCTCGTTGGCGAAGATGCTAGATAAACACATGCTTACTTTGGTCAAACACTGGCGGGTTGTCGTTGACGTCGCTCAGCGTGATGTTGACAGTAGTGGTGCCTGCGAGCCCCCCCAGCTGTCCCCCCATGTCTTTGGCCTGGATGACTATGGTGTAGTTCTCCCTGGTTTCTCTGTCCATGTCTGCTAAGGACACCCGCACCAAACCTGGAGCAGAAACCAAGGAGGCAGAAGGCGGTTAGAGAAATGGCACAGGCTCAGTTACAGCTCGGTGGAAATCATCTGACCCAAACAAAGTCATGCAAGGGGAAAATAATAAACATTTGTTTTCATTTGTTTTGCAAATCAAGATCTGAGATGTTTAGAATGCATTTATGTTTCACACCACTGGGTCAACATTTGACCATGACTAACATGATTTCCTAACCTTGTCCCACTTTATAGGATAGATCTAGAATGATCCCCCCTCCTGTGAGTTTAGGCACATATCCATACGTGGGCCTGCAGTTTGTCCATCCTCCCTCTATGTTCAGATGATGGTTTGATCTGGCAGCTTCTGATATTGTTTGAGCAGCTAGTCCTGCTTTAAACCTCTATGTAACTTTCCCCTACACACTAGACCTCTTAAAAAAATAACTTTTTTTCATTTTCATAGCAGCTCAACATATTTAAGTCGAAAATCACAATCATTTAAAATATGTTATAATTATACAAATTATATATATTTTACATAAATAAATAGGAAATTGTATTAGCGTTCATCTGCTTTTACTACCATCTTTGCAGAACTATTGGATCAAAATGTATAATAAACACTTGTACCGTACCCCAAAACTTGTGATTTCCATAATTTAATGGATACAACATGATTAAAAAAAATACAAATATATTTGTACAATTTATAAACAACGAAAACAACTGTATTTTAATCGGAGTTGACTTCTACATTATGATTTTTTTAATTAATCACAATTTTTAATCAAGAAAAATGAAATTTTCCGTTTTATGGGTATTTAAAAAGAATATGTAATGTATAAATATATACAAATAAAACAAATTGTATATATTTTTACATGGACTACTAGATAATTTTATTAGCTTTAAATTGAAATTAATGCCAACTTTGTAAGTCTATTTTTTTTAAGTTATAGCAAAATTCTGTACCCTAGTGACCAAAGAATATGAGGGTTTTTTTGTCATCTAGATGGTTATAATTTGAGGACCTTTGGGGAAGGCATAAGCATTGCCTGAGAACAAAATGATTGTGAATTTCTAGTTTGTCATGTTCGAAAGAATGGGAAATCCTCCAGTCTGCTATGAAAATCAAAAATTTGTATTTTTCGAAGAGGTCTACCGTGAAACTTTTGCTAAGTTCCTTGGTCTTCATGATGCTGTTTGTTCTTTAATGTTCTCCAATGAACCTCTAAGGCCAGAAACAGAGCAGGTGGTTAAAGAAATCAGATGACATCAAACCTAATTTGAAACACCCTATCAAACTTTCTTGTTTTAGGATAAAAAAATACAAGGGGTGTGAATACTTTTCAAGTATCGCTATTTAAAACTAAAATGTACTTATCAGGTTGTTTTAGGTTTGGACCTCAGAAAACGAACAATATTTTAAAGAGAAACTCTAACAATGATTTTACATTAAACCAGACATTGCTGACCTTCAACTGCTTGCTCTAAAGATATGTGTTCTCTTTTTAACTGACTCCCATCTGCACACTTATTGCATTAGTCTGAAGTTTTGCACAAAACAACTAATATAAAGAAAAGAGGGGGCAGAACCCAGACTGGGTCAGCTGATGCTGTTTCTGCTTCTGTTTTGATCTTTTTTATTATGTTGACACCAATAAAAGCCTTCGAGGCAGCTTTTTTAGTGGAACGAACAAAGCTGATTCATTGCTAAAGAAAAGATGCTTTGTTAATAAGGGAGCTACTGGTAATAAAGGAGAACTAAAGATTTTATAGGTTTGTCAGATTGATTGAAGAAGGGAGTTGGTTTGTTCACACGATGTCACAATTCCAGCTTTTATGTTGCGTAATTCTAAAAATAAGTGTTGTTAATAAATTCGCATTGAACATTTTTTTATGTATTTTATACAAAAATAAAAGAGATTCACAAAAAAAGTCAGTATAACTCACTGTTTACAGAAACTAGCCTTTAGATGGCAAAAAACCCAAAGAGACTTTGTTGGATTTTATGTCCAATCGGTGCGCCGTCGTCTAAAAGCTCTCAGTGACTCTCAATTGTTTTAAACTTAACTGTAAAAATTGCAAACAACTCTTCAGTTTGCATTGTTTTTTTTGTTTTTTTTCTTACATAACCTTCCACTCTTCTTTATCCCTGTTTGTTAGGGGTCTGACCAAAAAGTGGGGGCTCCTCATCAAACCAGGAAATGGGAATACTAAGTGTAAAGGCCTGGTTATCCTCCTGCAGCAGTGTGTTGCAGTCAGCTTGTCATAGATATTTATGATTTATGCCCAATATTGAAGCGTAGTCGACGCTATGTTATTCCATGCCACAACGAGGGACAATCAGGAACTAGCTGTGGGTCTAGATACGGCCGAGGCGGTGAGAAAGTGGGGGCAATTTTGAGCCTGGTCCAACTTTACGCATCGTTTTCCACAATGGCGGGCATAGAAACAAGACAAGCAGGTAAGGTACCAAAAAGGAAATATTTAGAGTGTAGAGCGGATGTAGATTTGACCAACCAGAGGCCTCCTGTCTGCGGTCACCTACAATTTTGGTGAGGTGCAGCAGAGTGTCTATGGAAGGGGCGGAGGCACATTGGGTTCATCGAGACACACGCAGACGACCTGGTTTCTGAGCATAAATCAGCGTTAAGTCACTGGCCTCTAACTGTCTTCTTAGACACCAGCCTTCTAGTCCCCCTCAGAGATTTCTTTATTTTTTATATTTCTTCTAACTCTCTTTATTTATCAATAATTTTTCAAATTCTTATACCAAACAGAAGATGAAGGCAGAACAAAGGAAAGTAACATGTAGGGTGATCTGTGCATTAAAAAAACAAAATTAACACAGATGTTCTATAAATTTTTTCCCATTAGCCCCATAAATACACCATTCTTCCAACATTTTTCTCCCAATTTGTTTTTGGAGCCAGATTTAATACGTCTTTAGCTCTTGCACATGGGACTGCTCTGAAAATCAGTTAAAAGCATCTGCAGTCGGGTTTTCTCTTGCCAGCACTTTTGTGACGGCCTTTTTCCTTGCAGCTAACAGTAATCAAACGGCATTCGTATCAGTTTTTCTCAGACCATTAGGCATAAGTCCAAAGGAACTTTGATGATGGGGAAAGACCAAAACACATCAGTAGAGACTTCTCCTATGGAGTTCTAAAAATCCAGATCTGGTTTTCCCTCAGAGTTTCCTTCACTGCTTAATGTCCATTCTCCTTTTCTGCAATGTCCAGCATATAAACTTAATAGAAATAAATAGTTTTCATGCACATCTTCTTTTTCCTAATAGCATAGAGAAGCTCTTCCGTATTGCAGAACTAGAAGAAACAGACTGTGATCTAACAGGTAGAGCAGCTGTAGATGGATTAGGTCTTAATGCACTTGATCCAGCTTGTTTATGAGGTTTTGGTCAAACACCTTCACAGTGGTGCCCTGCAGATTTACGCTGTCTTTCAGGACACATTGTATATCCAGATGTCCCTCAAGGTTAGACACTTTGTGCTGCAGAGACCACTGGTTCTTCAACAGCTGCACACATTGGTACATCCTATAGCCCAGCATTCTGATTCCACCTCTTTTTTCTGCCCAGCTATCTCTTCTACTCCATCCGTCCTCTCTTTTAGTCTTTGATTTAATAGACCACAGTTAAGTTTAACATCATTTGCCCTATGGTTTTCTTACAAAGGGAGGGTATGATCAGCTGTTTTTGTTCACCTTCCAGCTCCAACCTTGAAATATAACTGATTGATGATTTTAAGTGGTTCAGTTTCACTTTTCTCTTTGATAAAACAATATATTTTTCCCCCACCCATTGTCTGAGGGCTGTCCGTGAGTTTAAGTGGATGGAAATGTGCAAGTTCAGTTTTTTTTAATAATTTATTTATCTTTTTAATATTTCAGCCTGGTACTGTGACTTCTACAGGTGCTGGTCATAAAATTAGAATATCATGAAAAAGTAGATTGATTTCAGTAATTCCATTTAAAAAGTGAAACTTGTATATTATATTCATACATTACATACAAACTCATATATTTCAGATGTTTATTTTGTTTAATTTTGATGATTACAAATGACAACAAATGAAAATCTCAAATTCATCATATCAGAAAATTAGAATATTGTGAAAAGGTTCAAAATTGATGGCCCCTGGTGCCACACTCTAATCAGCTAATTAACTCAAACCACCTGCAAAAGCCTTTAAATGGTCTTTCAGTCTAGTTCTATAGGCTACACAATCATGGGGAAGACTGCTGACTTGACAGTTGTCCAAAAGACGACCATCGACACCTTGCACAAGGAGGGCAAGACACAAAAGGTCATCGCTAAAGAGGCTGGCTGTTCACAGAGCTCAGTGTCCAAGCACATTAATAGAGAGGCGAAGGGAAGGAAAAGATGTGGTCGAAAAAAGTGTACAAGCAAGAGAGATAACCGCACCCTGGAGAGGATTGTGAAACAAAACCCCTTCAAAAATGTGGGGGAGATTCACAAAGAGTGGACTGCAGCTGGAGTGAGTGCTTCAAGAACCACCACACACAGACGTATGAAAGACATGGGTTTCTGCTGTCGCATTCCTTGTGTCAAGCCACTCTTGAACCACAGACAGCGTCAGAAGCGTCTTGCCTGGGCTAAAGAGAAACAGGACTGGACTGCTGGTGAGTGGTCCAAAGTCATGTTCTCTGATGAAAGTAAATTTTGCATTTCCTTTGGAAATCAAGGTCCCAGAGTCTGGAGGAAAAGAAGAGAGGCACTTCATCCACGTTGCTTGAAGTCCAGTGTAAAGTTTCCACAGTCAGTGATGGTTTGGGGTGCCATGTCATCTGCTGGTGTTGGTCCATTGTGTTTTCTGAGGTCCAGGGTCAACGCAGCCACATACCAGGAAGTTTTAGAGCACTTCATGCTTCCTGCAGCTGACCAACTTTTTGGAGATGCAGATTTCATTTTCCAACAGGACTTGGCACCTGCACACAGTGCCAAAGCTACCAGTACCTGGTTGAAGGACCAT